AGTGCTACAAATCTTCTCGAAATACAGATATCTTAATCTTCCCTGTCGGCTGCGTTCACTGGGGAAGTTGGCAAAGGGATGACTTAGAGATGACTTTCGTTTTGCTGCGTTTCTAAGGGGGGAAGGTGAAAGGGATGACATAGCGATGACTTAGTCGATTGCCTGTAAGGGTTAAACCTTAGTGGGGGTCCTAAGTGCCATGTAGTTGAGAGGTTTTGGGGTTTAGGTGTTTATAGAGTGGAGGGATGCCGTAGGTGGTCTTCCCGCCCACTCAAAGTATCATGATATGCAGGGAATATTGGCTCAGACCCATAGAACCAGCATCTCGGCTTCGTAGTATACGTCCTTAGATGCCCTAAGGGTCCAAGGACCCAAATAATAATGGGGTTTTAGGGCCCAAATACTACAACATTAATGGTATTTGGGCCCTAAAGCCCTTTTATTTAGATCCTTGGAAGCTTGGGGACGGGAAGGGGGAATGGGCTCACAAGCAGCCGTAGGTTTCCCAGCACAGTGCAGTAGCAAGCAGCATTGGAAGGAATGCATCACAACAAGTTCGCGCAGTGATGGCAGCTTAGGAATACTTGCATACATAGTGGTCAGAAATGTGATGGAGAAGCATTTGCATGACCCTGAGCCCACGGCAAAAAGATTTCTAGGTCGTGGCATATCGGCTCATGTAAGATTTCTCCACCAATCAAGCAACAGGAGTAGTCCCCCCAAACCCTAAATCGTAAACCCTAAGCCTTGGTAGTATAGTTTCATTCACCACGCACCGCACGACTTACCAGGAAGGAAGTATCCGAGACGTGGCATACGTTCGTGCAGAGCTTCGACAATGAGCAATCTGCCGGTCCCCGGTCCTGGTTTGCGGATCTGATTATGGTTTAAGGTTTAGGGGCTTAGGGTTTAGGGTCATGGGAGTTTCTCGAACGGTTACAGTTGAGTCACATAGCATTGGATACTGTACAGAAAAAGAACATGGAAACTTATACTTAGGCGAATCCCATGGAGCAGAACTTGGATAATGAAATGGAGGTCGGGGTCATTCAGGGGAAGTAATCCCCTGCCCAAATTGCCAAACAATAGACTCTCCAGTGTAGTACCATTACGTATTAGGGTGGAGGGTTTGGGGTGACTATGACAAGGGGGAGCCGACAACTAGGACAGTGGATGCTTAATGCCCTCCCTCTAACATGAAACCCGTCCACCCCCCCCCCTCCATAATATTCAATCCTCCCAATATCATAATATACCACGCTATGAGAGTATCTAATGGAGTACTTAATGTTAGGGGGTGGGGGGAGGTCAACAATAGGGCGTGGGGGACCTTAAACCCTGGCTGTTGCCTCGCGCGGAGGGTGATGCGGTAGCCTACATTACCAAAACTGGAGAATGAAATGGATAAGGGCATGGAAAATGGTATAGAGGCTACTAAAGGGTTTGGGGTTTAGGGTTTAGGGCTTAGGTTTTAGGGTTTAGGGCCAAGGGTTAGAGGTTTAGGATTTGCGGTGGATCTTGCAAATCCTGCATGACCTTAAGTACGTTATTCCCAAGTAACGGGACTACAGTATGGCAAGGTCATGCACGATTATAGTATGAACAGTGGGGATCTACAGGGATTTAGGTATGTCAGGGCAAACCACAAGGAAATCAACATAGAACATGAACTCGACACCGGGGCTTCAGAGGATTTATTGGATTATTATCATGGTCCTAGATTCCTTGTATAATTCCGATATAGAGTACCACGAAGAGCTCAACATGACGTCGTATTTTTTGAGGCCCCGGTAGTAGTTCTCGAAGTGAGCTTCTAGAAGCCTTGGACGACCTGCTCCCATGAGTCTTCTACATGCTTTGGATACTGTTGGCTTAGGGGACAGTTGTGTTACCCCTATTATATGCTATTACTGGGTGGTTGCAGCAACCAGTATATGCATAATTCTATTAAGTAAACAATCCTGTGTGGCACCAACTACCCTAAGCTTTGGGACTCAAGGGAGCTGGGTATCATGAGGTCATGCAGGATTTTCTCATCAACGGTTCGGGTGACCCCGTAATCCCTAAACCCTTAACCAAACATCTCCCAGGTGAAGCCGTGTTCGGTGCCATTTTCGAAGCTGCGCCTTCCATGCAGTCGCTTTTTCATGGGCCTCGGGCAGTTCAGGCACAAAAGTTGCGTGGCTACAGCAAGAGAAGGCCAACAACTATCAAGAAATGTTCGGTATTTTCGGGAAAGAGCCTTTTTCCTTTTTTTGACCCAAACCCAAGAACAACATCTGGAGGTTACCAACTTCTTGGACCCAGATGTAATCTACAGACATTTAGTTACATGCCACGGTTCTCAAGGGGCCTGAAATAAGCCCTATTGCCCATCTATGACCTTCAATCCTAAATAGCTGCCCTGTCAACACTGTCGCTGAACTCTACTCCCACAACCCTGAGTCCTGTTCCCTATTTCCTAAACCCCAAGATTCGTCTTGCTACCCAGTGGCTCCTAGGGAAACACATGGAACCCTGTAGGAGCCCCTATGAACCCCATATAGCGGTCCCTTGCTCCGACTTCATGAAAGTTACTACTAGCCAGCCTAAACCCTGCACCATGTACATTCCTGTAATCTCTATAGAGAACCCTACACATGCCTATATATCATCCCTATAGCGAAGACCATACATCCCCATAATTGCTTTAGATGGAAATTCCCGGACTCGTCTGAGGTTTGTGGTCAGCCTTGGCAACATCGTAAGCAACCTCGGCAATCCAGCTGCTTTGAAGGTAGAGGTCGCTTGCCAAGTTGAAGCCCTGAACCCCAGACCCTAAACTTCAAGCCGTAATCCCTGAGCCCTAGGGACTGGAGGGAGAGATAGGGATATGTAAGAACACACCAGGACCAAGGCGAGTATAGGGTCCAGGCTGTAGGGATTACAGGGTTCAGCCACAGGGGCCGCGGGCTCAGGAAGGGTATGTAAGAAGTTTAGGGTCGAGTGTTTGAGCGTCATTTCTCTGAGGCCTATTCCCTGAGCGCTCTAAGTCTGACATGGTCTACCAGCCTCGGGGCATAACGTTGTGGCTTCGGCCCAGCAACCATAGACTAACAGTCCCCTGAGGACACGTGGGAGTTTCTCAGAACAGGTGACTCCTCGGGACCCTAGAAAAAGTTCAGGATTATGAGGGGATTATGCTGGTCCTCGTTAAGCATTGATTGTTCAGAGGAACTTCCATATTGAGGCTTGGCACAAGAAATTTAACCCTGAAACCTAAATCCTAAGTAGGGACTGTTGCTACATGGAGGTGGGACTGAAGCTCAGGTGGAGACTCTGGGATTTGCACATTTGAGCGTGGACATCACAATTCCAAGAATTGCGCTGTTCCGCGACGCTATCCTCGACCTTTTTGAGACAGAACTCAATGATTCACTTACCCCTTCTGCTAGGGACGGCTGCTGGGCTGTTGTCAATTGTTGGATCATGTTTTACATGTTTGTGTGAGTGTGCCTCGTTGGTTTTATAGCCCCCGTGAAGTAGATAGAATATGGCTTTGATTATAATAAGATCCCCATACACCTCAAATTTGATCTACTTAAGGGGGACTATAGAATGATTATTTTTGTGCCGCAAGAATTCAAGGCTGGGGGACGTTGCTCTCCTACATTGGGGGATCGCAGATCTGGGTTCGAACTCATTTCTCTGCTCGCTTAAAGGTGCTGCAGGAGAGCTGGCGAGCCGCGAACAATCGCGACAACCCGCAGGTCTCCCGGGGCTTGGGGTTTTGGTCTTAGGGTTTGGTGTATGACGTCTATGGTTTAGAGTTTGGAGCTTTTTGTTTTTGAGCTGTAGACTTGAACCTGAAACCCTAAAGCCCAAGGTCTCAGATGCCGAGCGCCAAAAGATTTTGAAGCAAACCAAGAAGGATCAAAAGAAGGTTGAGATTGATGCCGAGGCGTGAAGTGATCAAAGTCCGGACCGGGATTTAACATGCCCATAATTATATGGTAGTTTCCATTTTCTTTTCCATTATCCCTATATAGCCCCAATATAACCCGAATAGAACCTGTAGGATTCAGGGTTCAGGATTTATAATGTAAGGACCTCCCAGAAAGGACCTATAGACTTCTGAGAACCACCCCCACACCCAGAGAATTCGCCTCCCCTCTCTCTCTCTCTCTCTCTCTCTGTTTATATATAAACCCAACTGTAGTTTCCATTTTCTTTTCCATTATCCCTATATAAACCCAATATACAAACCTCGAGTCATAGAGATTCGTTTGAGAGCCGGCCAGGTTGCCAGCACAGACAGCCCTGACAGTTCGGAGAGTAGCTTCTCTTTGAACACGGGTCACACCATCGGCCCCTGGGTGTTTTTAAAGTTGAGGGTCAAGGGTTTAGGCGCTTAGGGCTCAGGGAGTATGTATTAGAGTTTCAGGGTTTTGAGGTTTGGGGTTTTGGGATCTGAGGTTCAGTTGTTCTGAGCTGTTTTTCCCTGTTGTTCCATAGCGCACCAAATCCAGATATGCAGGCTCATGTGCATCTAAGACCCACAAGCCATTTCCCAAACAATCCCAGCTTTACTGTAACAGTCAGATACTCAATATCCCTTAGGTGCTTATGCGCCTCCCTTGTTGTGCAAGCCTCAAGTGATTCCAAAATTAAAGCTCCTCAGCCCTATCAGATGACTTGCAAGGTTGCTGTTAATACCTTGATATAAGGTACTGTCATGGGGGAAACCACATTGATTACTCATTATATGATAACTTATTTTGAAGGTCTTTAATGTAGACCAATGATAATGAGCCCTGTCTTTTAAGGGCCTTAATATTAGAAACCCTATTATAACCCTTATTAAGGGAAGAGGGTTTATGAATACGGGGTCTACATTAATAGCAACCTTCTATATATACCCATATTGTGGTAGCCCTAAACCCTTAACCCCAAAGACTAAACCCTAAATACTATATAACCCCTAAAAACCCATCATGGTAACTAAACCCTTAACCCCAACGACTAAACCCTAAATCCTACAAAACCCCTAAAAACCCGTGATGGTAACTTGCCATCCAGGTCCAGCTCACAGTACGAAGGTGATTGCTGACAAAAGGCGCTGCGGTCTTTGCTTTGGCACTTTACTGAAACTGGGTGGCAAAGTGGGAGAAGTGGGGGGTTCCCGAACTTAAGGGTACTTTTTTAGGGATCCCTATAATAAGGATTATAGCATGT